GATTTCTCGGAAACTACTTGACCGATTTCAAAGATTTTTTCAGGAATGATCGATGCATTGTTATAATATCTCCAGATCATTTTTTTATTTTTCGTAAAATCACTTCCGGTCACATTTTTTGTCCGATTTTCTTTTTTTTTAATTGCCATTTTGTCAAAGCAACTCCTTCTTAACCACTCAAGATTTAATCAATATATTTTAGGGGATGATAAAACATCTCTTTCAGTTAAGCAAGGCATATTTTGATTTTGCATCCGTCACTTCCGGTCGACACAGGAAGTGACATTAATTTTCGAGATTTTTTGAAAAATTTAACCGTTTTGAATAATGGCAAGTAAAACTTATGTTCACATTAACAATCGTCAACAAAACGCATCCATTTGAATAACTTCCGGTGTAAACCGGAAGTAGTCGAAAAATTGATTCTCTCTTGCGTCAAAAGAAATAGAATAAATGGTTTTATTTGAGTTTTTTTCAAAGTTTTTTTTTTACTTATGACTTTGACGTCAGCCGGAAATGATGCCTAAATTGTCTAAATTCGTCAAATGATGTCACTCCCGGTCAAACCGGAAGCAGTCAAAAATAGTTTATTTTGAAGGTTTTGACGTAAAATTGAAAACTTTTAAATTTTAGAGACACTGAAGGCGTCTTAACTCATTCCTTTCTCTTGTTGACGTCACTTCCGGTCAAAACTGGACGGAAGACCTACTCGTTGCTTTGCAACGAGCTTTGCTCTTGTTCTAATCTATAATGCTTCTTTCCATCTGCCTCCTGTTAAGAGTTCTGGATAAAAAACCCTAGCTTTTTCTAGTAATATAACACATGGTTTGAGAACAAATAACTTGATTTACTACATACATCATAAATGTTTTATTATCAACATAAACTCAATTCCACCAAAAAATATCAGTATAAGTTTGTGAAAGAAAAAAAATGTAGTACTAAAATGCAGGAGCAGGGATGAAAAATTTTATAAAACAACCAGGGCCATAACATTCACTCAAAATGATACAATTTTATTGAATAAATAAAAAGGATTGGAAAAAAGTTCTGTATACATTACTAAGTTCCTCTTCATAATCTTTTAACAATGTCACATGGCATTAATCCTTTCTAATATTCACACTTTTAAATACCTCTTCTTTCTCTATTTTTTTTTAAATTCACTATGAGACTTAAGACAGATGAAACAAATTAATTTATACATACATTTATTGATTGTTGCATTATCATGGAATGCTTGGACCGTTTTATCATGACAAAATTAAATTCTTGATGTGCAATTATCTTTTTTGTGGTGTGCTTTTGTCAATATAAAAATGTGGTTTTGTCATTTTGTGGTAAACATATGTCATTATGTGCTTTTATCACTGTGTAATGTGCTCTTGTCATTACATGTATGTGATGCATGTGCTTTATCTATATGTAATAGGTTTTTGTTATTATGTCTTGTGATTTTGTCATTATGTGAAGTGCTTTTATCATTATGTGTTGTGCTTTTATCATTATGTAAAGTGCGTTTATCATTATGTGACTGTGACATACTTTTATAATTATGTGAATAGCTTTTATCATTATCTGAAGTGCGTTTATGATTATGTGATGTGCTTTTATCATTATATGAAGTGCGTTAATCATTAAGTAAAGTGCTTTTGTCATTATGTGATGTATTTTGTCGTTATTTTGTGTACTTTAGTCATTTTGTGTTGTACATTTCTCATCATATAAAGTGTTTTATTCATATGTTTGTTTAATTTTAAGCCACTGCGTCGTGTTCAGCAGTCTTCATGTGTGCAAACATCTTTACGTTATGTGCAAGTTTTATCGTGGTGGAAAGGTTTTCTCTTTACATTGAAAACAATATATGATAACAAAAAATTCAAACAAGTTTAAAATAGATCATGTGAAAAAAAATCCTTATTCGAAAATTGAATGTGAAAAATTTAGCATCACTTTTTTTCCGAACACGTCAAACTTAAAACTTGGTACTGACGTAAATTAACCCCTCCCTTCACAAGATATATTATTTGCAAGTTTGGCTAGTTAAATTTTCCTTCAGGCATTTGATTTTTTTTCTCTTGCTGCCCCATCCCCCACTTTTTCTCTGAATTTAGTTCAGTCCATGCATATTTCTAGTTTATATCAATTAATATAGAACAGCAAACCCAACCCATGCCTCAAATACGTTTTGTGTTTGAAGAATTTCCTTTACTAGTTTTTTTTCCCCTTATCCATGTCAAAAACCTGTGCTACACCTGTACCATCATATCTATTTTTCCAATGATAAATTTCATCCGTATAAATCCATAACAGTTGTCCGGTCCACGCAGTTAACATTTACATGTATCAAAATAACCCAATGTTTTAAAATGACAAAAATATAGGCCAATTCGCGATCAAATTTCACACGTTTTTCTATAAAAGTACTATCAGTCAAAGTAGGCAGATCATTGTAGAAAATGTAAACAAACCTTCATGAATATTCACTATAGCTAGACATTATCTCTACGTTTAATTGAATTTAAGTTAGAAACACATGCATATGCTCCACGTATTGTAGTACTTTTTCAAGAACAGCAACTTCTTGAAAATAAATCGAAGTAAAAGTTGACCTTAACGTTAGCAACAAAATGAATCTTGCACATCAAGAAAAGATGTTTTCACCACAAATAAAGTCTTTTATACACGATGTAATGGCTATTGAAAGTACCTGATCTTGCCAAATGCACACCATATAATGCCAAAAGCACAACATGTAATGACAAATGCACAGCATATTATGACTAAATCACACAACATAATGAGAAAAGCACATCACATAACGATAAAGCACATCACACAATAACAAAAACACATCACATAATGACAAAAGCAAATCATACAATGACAAAAGCACATCACACAATTAAAAAAAAAACATATTACACACATGTAATTACAAAAGCACATCACATAATAACAGAAGCACATCACACAATGACAAAAGCACATCACGTAATGACCTATGAACACCACTTGATGATAAAAGCACATTATATATTAACGAAAGCACATCAAAAAAAGATAAATGCAGATCAAATCCTTTTTTAAATATTTTTTTTCATATACCAACAGACATCGTGACTTTTATTTATTTATCATAGCATTAACAACTTCCCTTTTTGAAAGTCTCCGAAAACATCAAAAAGTTAAACAAAGAGCTAGGTTCACTTATTCATAAAATGGTTTGTACTTTTATCAATTAATTATCTTTCATCCTCTTTTCCATTTAATGAATCAAAATAAAGTAGACACTTATGTGCTTTCATTTCCTATAATAAAATTTCTGTATGAGAATCTGGATATTGTAAAAATTACAATGTTTTTGAAATTTGCAGAAAACATGTGTATTTGACTACTTTCAGCAATGAATTAAAATATGACCACAGCCGACAATCCAAAAAATAAAACGTTTTTTTTAATCTTCTTTCATTATGTATTTGTATAATTTAGATCAGAGGTTGTGCTCTATATGAACTAATGAAAAAAAAACTTTAAGCCATTTTCAATGGAATTTACAGGATATGAGGAAAATGACACATTCAATGACGTCATAATGCCTTGATTACAGGGAAAATTACGGCATGATTAAAAGATACGAGGTCACGAACACTCCAAGAATAAATACTGCAAATATTCTTCAAAAATTCTCAGGGACAAACAAGGCCCAAAGTTTCCCGGGTTTTCTCTTTCTTTAAATTTTCCAAATGATGCCATAATGAACACTGAAATAAAAAATGATTTTTTTCATATGTATCCATATTTTTCTATTTTTAGCACGGTAGCTCTATTGGTAAAGCACTTTCTTGGTGATCAGGAGGTCATCTCGACCGCGACTGACCTCAGTCGGTTAAAAAAAATTGGGCAACTGTCCCTTCGCAAAGAGTTCAGCAGTTTGAATTGATACAATAGATTCCTTCGGATGAGACCTTATAAACCGTAAGGCATTTGCTCAATTAGGATCTACCTTTGCTGAATGACCTTGAGTGCCGAGTAAAAGTCAAAATCTAAGGCCAATCACCAGCATATGGTGACGTCTCTACATGATTAATACATTTTCAACTGGGATGTAAAAAAAAACATGCAATCAATCTATCTATATATTTAAGGCTTATACTTTTTTCGAAATAATTCTTGAATACGCCTTGTTTAACCATGTTTTTTGTTGTTGTTTACCGAAGAACCATATCCTTTTCAAATTAATATTAAAGTACAATTAATCCATTGTCCTTGCCTGAAACAAAGTAAAAAACAATAAATATTTCTGAAGATAGTTAGCTCACAGTGTGCATTATATTACGATTACAACGCAGTATCTAAGATATATCCTGACAATCGCCCTGGAGATATAAATTCGTCAATATGAATAGCAATGGATACATCGAAGAATTTGTGTTTTTGTCGTGTTCTGTCTGTCTGTCTGTCTAGCTGTCTGTCTGTTTGTTTATCCGCAAAAACATTTACCTTGCCCATAATTTTTGATTGAGTTGAGCTATGATTTTTGTTTTCAAAGTATCAAAGTTTTCAATAAAGTTTTTTTTTATAGTAACCTACTTTTAATATCAATTTATTAAAAATCCATTTCAGTAAAATTTAATCGTAGCTATATTGCCATACGGCAGCATAAGTGTTTCAAAAATACATCTTTTTCATCATAGCTCTTGCATTTTAGTACTACAATATTTTTTTCCATTTTTCTACGGCAAAATGAACTGAAATTTATTGCGGTACAATACATTAAACTAGATAATAAATCGCTATGATATGCGCTTTTCTGTGTTTTTAAAAATATAAAGTAAATCACATTACTTTTTCTTAATCCACGTGATACATTACTTGAAATGTTAGACATTTTATCGACAACTCTTAACGGGCGGCAGATGGAATGAAGCATTGCAAATGAGAGCAATATTTCCAATATAAGCAGTATCTACGACATTTATCTTTTGACAAATCAAAGATTTAATCACCATGTACACAAAATGGTTTACTCTCTTGATAATCTCTGGACTGATGACTATTGCTAATACAAAACAAGGTAGATATCTATTTGATACATGTATCAATAATGTTTATTTGATATTATATGTATATTTACATCTTATTTTAAAAGACAAATAAAGATTTCTTATCCTTGCTGCTGAAATTAAGAAAAAGAACAATCTGTATTGCAATGAATCAAGAATGCTATCACTTGGTCAGGCTATTTTTCACATTTACTACTATGATACTTTTTTTTTCATTTCACACTTTCCTCATTATTAATGTGCACTTTTCTAAATGGCCCTGCATGAACTGTTTAGTTTTATTATTCCTTTCCTCTTTTACTCCTTTTCTTCACAACCTATCACAATTAACTCAGGTTTTAGTTCAATATGGGATGTTGAAAATGTATGGCTTACACTTTGCCAATCTGAAATATGCCATGTATTATTCCTAATTGAAGATCTGTTCTTCTTGATCATATTATTTTTTTCTTCAACTTACAAAAAACACTGTATTTTTAAAACAAAGTTACAATTGAAGCCAGGCAGCAGAAAATAAGGTCTTTTCTTTATTCAGTATTTTATGAAAAGCTTTTGAATTATAAATGTTTAAATAATATAATATTATGTACGCCCCTGAAATATTGAGCCTCCTTCGACCAGAAATGAAAGGAGTAATTCAGCATAATTGATATGAAAGTTAAATTTATGTTGTAAATATTTAATCCTTGCTACATTTTGGAATGAAAGCAAATGAAAATATTGTAAATAATATCTAAATTTAATTGAATTTTAGAGATACATGTTAAACGATTACGACATACACTTTTAATACTATTATAAACCCATTTACACAATTTTACTCTTCAAAGTGTTTTTTTTCTATATAAGCTGGTTTGTTATTGAACAATGAAAACGAATACATTTAAAACAAATCATTGCGATTGAATATATTTGAATAATAATAATAAAACAGGAGTATGTTTATCTGGTTTTATCTCTTTATTTTTTTGGATTATGTTTTCAATATTTATTCCATGTCTCTTTTATTTTCATATACTGGTTTAGAACGCAGTTTTCGTTATTATTCAGAAAAGGATAACCTCCTAGCCGAAATTGTTTCCTACGTTTCAATACATGTTTTATAAAGCATTTTTGATATCCTACACGTGTCAGTCTATATGTTTCAGCGTACCCTTTTCATTCATTGTCATGTGAAAAAGGATGGCTTCAGTTCGTATAAAGCTGCTATTTGTTTGTTAACAAAGCAGTTATTCTCAAAGATGCAGTTGTAGGTATTTACTCAGAGAATGAATTGAATTATTTTTATAGAGGAATATTTATTTAAAGAAAGATTGGAATTAACAGTTATTTGTTTAAATAAAATTCTTTTGTTTACGATAAAAAACCTTTAATTTTATTTTTCACTGAAACAGAATTATTGCAACCGAGCTGGCGCACACATTCTTGAAATAAAAAGTTCCCATGAAGAGAAATGGGTTGACCTGCAACTAAAAATTAGAGGTAGATTTTTCAAAAAAAAAAATAAAAAACGAAAGGAAACAATTGTCCCTTTGCTGATTTAATGATAACGTTCTATAATTAGGCTTTCAGATTATATGGACTGGACTAACGGATATTGTCAAGGAAAACGACTTCGTTTTCATCTCAACGGGAGGGAAACCGACTTATACGAATTGGAATAAGGGCGAACCCAATAATGCTGGAAAGATTGAACATTGTGTTGAGAAGTGGGCAGGGTCGGGATGGAATGATAGAAATTGCGATGTTAAATTTGCTTTTGTGTGTGAGATAAATCCAATGTAATATCTCATTTTTTATAAATGAAATTTTTTTTAAACATTTTCCTGTTTTAAAGCAAAATGTAAGGAAGAAACACATTCGAGTAAAATTGTGAATCAATAATGAAAACATAAACCGTATTGCACAAAAGTAATTTTTTTTTAAGAAATCAAAATATTGACATCTTTTCATATAAAGAAAAAATCAAATAAGTGGGTCTTTATTAGTTGCATGTGTAATATTTGAAAAAAGCAAGTTATTTTGTTTTGTGTTTATTTATTTATCATCTGAGCTTTAGACAACATATCGTTAGACCTTTCTAAGTTTTAAAAAGATTTCAAAAAAACAATATTTATCTCTTTTGTGAATGTCGTAAAAAATGATCTTCAACTCAGTCGTATAGTTGTAGTACAAGGACATCTTATCCACCCTTTTTCTGTATTATTCAGTGACATGTAATAATTACACAAGGGAAAAATCAATATATGTACGTAGTATTTGTAAGCTAGGATTTATTTAAATATATTTCTATTTTCAATTGCTTTCTCTATGATAAACAGTACAAAAGTTTATCTTGTTAATTACTTGGAAATTCCTGTGGCATGTATATTTCTCTATTGAAATACTACTGAAAGGTCAAATGTCAACCTGCATGTATATGAGTGGCGTATTAAAACTTTGAAGAAAAATTAGATGTTTTGTTTAATTGTTTACAAAGAAATTATATATTATATATCTTTTTACAAACAAAATAAATAATGAATTATCTTTGGATCAAAATTAAATCGCTAGCGTAACGCTGTCCACTATCATCGAGGCTGAGAACTCCACTTCCGCAAACAACCAATCTAAATCACATCGAGAAACGACCACAGCCACATACACTCCATCATCTGATACAGACACCATCCGTCAGTTATTACCATCCTATTTCATAAGCAACTTAACTTCCTCTGCTATTTAAACAAACACTTACAAACCGGCTTCCTGACCAACTCCCGTTTAATCAACTGCAACATTGCATTCAATAGGGCGGCGGAGAAGTGACCTAGGGTCTATACACGTGTTTGTGCTTCCGACAGCCTAAATCTTTTTATATCAAAGTTAACAAGATTGCTTTGATTATAATTTTAAATTATTTAGTTGTTTGTTTCATAAATGTTGATATTTGACGACAGTAATTAAACGATCATTATTAAAATTTGTTTCGTGTTTTCATCGAACTATTTTTGGTGGGGCAATGGAAATTATAACATATGGATGACTCGTGCATTTCAAATCTACTAAATTACGAGTATACGGTATTTCGATTTATTTTTCCCGTTATACAAATTATCCCATGTTTCCCACTATCGTTGATACCCTGGCATAGTCTCCTAACTAGAGAGTGATTCCTAAAAAAAATTTGATTTGATGCATTGGAAATTTTTTTTAGCATGGATGGGTTCTTAGCAAATAATTTAAGTAACGTATACGAGGATTTGTTTAACTTTGTTTTTCGAATTTCTTTGCAAAACATGAACTACAATCTGTTCTTCCTTTGTGTGATTTTTTTTATGTGGAATAGAGAACAACTCGAATAAGATTCCCTTATGGTTTTATATAGTAAAGAGGAAACTGTAGGTCTTAAGACTTAATTAAGGATGCATCTAGTGCAAGAAATCAATTAAGGATTTATTTCAAAATAAAAATAGTTTTAAAACTTTTGAATTAGCCTGGTGATAAATTTACAAGGACCCTGATTTTCTTTCCAAAATTCAGTTAAATATTGCTTTGTTTACAAAATGAATCTGGAGGTACTGTTAGCAGTGAGCTCAATAAATAAGACACCCTGCCTCCTGTATTTAAATTATAATGTTTTGCTCTTGAAGACCAGAAATAAGTGTCAGATCAAAAAGAAAAATAGGAGGTGCACAATAGCATTATGAAATGAAGAATATGTGGAAGAATTATTAAACTTTATTCATTAGAATATGAGTCAAATAAGACTTGTGAATAAGACATGGGTTACATTCAATGTAATAGAAATTATGGCATTGTCAATGATATAAGAGGAGTTGTGAATAAAACGTAAAATTGGAACCCTTAATGGCAGTGTGTAACAAAGATTCTGATAAAGTCTCATTAAATATGCCCTACCACATTTCAAGCAATGGTAATAATAAAATGAACTAGAATAACTTTGAAAGTGTAGTAGCTGTTTAAGATTTCTAACACTACACAGCATTGAGTTTTATAAATTTTGCAAAAGGCAATCTTAAAAAAAAAAAGAAAAGTAAAACATATTATTCATATTTCAATCTTTCACAATATCAATGAAGTGTTTATATCCGTGTCCAGAAAACCACAGCATGCTTGTCCTAAAGGATATCCAAAGAGAATGAATAACAGTTCCCAAAACACATGTCTGAAATTGTACATGTTTTATTTACAGGCTTTTTGTGCCTTTGCTTCTCTTTACAATGGAGGGCGACATTTTTCTGATTCAATATTTTACAATTGATTATCTATTTTCATATTCCTCTTATCTCGTCAACAAATATGTTGAAATTTTCTGGATGAAACCTACACTGTACCTATTGACCCAAAGTTCCCTGAGTCGGAAGAAGGCAAGCAAACATTCTAATGAAACATCTGCTTATTTTATCGAATGTGACAGGAAAGCATTCAATGAAATTTCTTTAAACCTTTTATGTTTAGTTCTTAACTTTTACTCGATGCGGCAATGGCGAATCGAACTCGAGCCTCTGGATAACGAAGCAAACGCCCATTTAGCTACCTAGTACATGACTTATATACATAACGTGTACATTGGGCAAGGGTATATATTTTATCTAAATGAGAATATTTTGCTTTAGAGTAAGGAAAAAAGAGAAATCTAAAACAAAAGATAAGAAGTTGTGTTTTATCTGGGAACATTGCTCATGAATGATACATACTCTCAAAATCAGAGAATTCATGGAAAAAAGTTATTTTTTGACAACTGTACATTAATTTGTATCTCATAACAGTATTTGGAATCTTAAGAATGATATGTATGAAAAATCTACATCCCATTAATGAGTTTTTGCGTTTCGTTGCAAATAATCTTGACGCAATGTAACAGTTGTCTAACACGGGTACTCTCTTTGTGATATTTTTTTTGATTTTTTATCAGCAAACTTTACATGTAACTAACTTTGTGCGTTAACAATTCTACAAAACTTCTTACCTTAATAATGAATTAATAAGGAAACACAATAGCGCAATTTGAAGATGCTTAGTATGAGGGAAAGTGTCTCCATTTATTAGATGCAAGGTGAGAGAAAAAAGAGAGCATAAAATTTATTAAACTTCAGAACTTACTACATGTAATTGATCATTGGAGAAATGAATGGGAAGATCAGAAGACGGTTCAGTAAGTGATGAAGTGTGTCCGTTTATCAGATGAAAGGTTAGAGAGGAAAAAACAGCTAAAAAGTAACAAATAATTGATTGATATTGAATAAACACTGAAACAGAGCCAAATTAGAACTGTGAATATTACTCTTAAACAAAAGAAACTCTTGGTTTCTAACAGAACTTTAACTCGTATGTGTAATCGTCGTTTTTCGAATGAAAATAATTGGATCATTTTTCCAATATCCCTTGAACAAGATAAAACAAGCCTTTTAAGCTTGGTTACTTAATGGCTTACAAGACCTTTTTGATGGTTTAATGGGTGTCTTTAAGTCACCATCCAGTACCTTTAAGTTATCTTTACGTAATGAATATACCAACAAGAATCCTTGTATCTTGATGGCCTGGAATGAACAATATCCTTCAGTCCTTCATTGTCAGAAGGAATGCATATTCTATATGTTCGTATATTTTCAAATGCGATTTTTAATGACAAATAGCGATCTTGATACCGTTTTTTTTTTGCATGAAATAAGTATTTTGTTCATTTCTGTTGCATTCTCTTTCCGTTTCCCTTAATTTTCAGACAGCCATTATGTATTTCATAAATATTTAAATGTTCTTTTTGGGATTTTGCTTGTTTTGTGAATTTGTTTTTGACTTTTATATGATTTGGTCTGGTTACTGGATCTGGTTGTAAACTCCCGGGATCGTTCTTCGCTTTTCCGCATGTATGAGATTTTAAGGACCAGGGAAAAATCTTCCTCCAATTCCCTGGTCCTGACCAGACAAAGTTCACTAGATTCTCAATGTTCCAGTTTGCATCTTATCTCCTTAGTATTATTTATTCTATATCTGCATGTCCAGCGCATTACAGATTATGGGGAGTGGCGATGTTACCCAACCTGTATAAATGCAACCAGAAAGAGACAAAAATCCAGCCTTCCACTTTTATTAAATTAAACAATCCATGTTAATATCTATAATACATGTAACAATAAATAATTTTACACAAGGTATTGACTATTATTAATAATATAAATACTTATGATATAAAACATTTAACATGTAAATAAAATTAGCCATGTGAAAATTTAATAATTTTTACCAAAACGCGCGCAAGTCTACAAAAAAAAATCTTACCTGTATAAATCCTACCAGAAAGAGACAAAATCCAGCTTTCCACTGCCGAATTGTCTCACTGAGCTACATTTATACCCCCGTGCGTGCCCTGCATGATTTAGTATTTCTTTTAAAATGCAATAATTTTTTTTAATCTGAATTTGAATTTGCAATTACTTTTATTCTGACCTTCAGTATTTTTTAATTTTCTAAT